GGCCCAGGCACAGTAGGTTGTGCCCCAAGGGGTCCAGAAAAAGGGAAGTTACAAGTTACCCAAACATTTCAAGGGTATGTTATTATAGATGCAAAAAGATAAATAGGCTCCATTAAGGTAAAGGTTGACCTTGTCAGGGAAGATACCGGCCTAGGACGTAACTGCCCACCATCACTGCTTTTAGTTCAAGTGTAATTTCAGACCATCCCTTGTGGTGACTTTAGGTCTCTGAGTTTGCAAGACCGCCACGCAGGCCTCCTCTGAGCCTGTCAGGTCAGCATGTAGCCCCTTTTTTCCACAACCAAATCCCCCAAATTGGTTGCCCAAAGAGGGGAGAAGTCCCCCGCCCCCCGAGGCTAGGCTTTGGCTCTGGGGCTCTGCGGGGAAGGTGGGCATGGGTGCCTGCTCCCTGCAGGTGCCTAACGCTCATGCAGAGAGTGGGCAGAAGATGGTGCCAGGCTGGGCAGGGCCCTGAAGACTGGCCCTGCTGGCCCACGGAGACAGGCTCCCCCCGGAAATGGAGGCCGTGGTGCTGGTGGAAGTTGGGGTCCTGGGCAGGCCCTTCGCAGGCCGAGTCTCCTGTTCTTGCTTCTAACTTCCTCCCCCAGATGTTCATTCAGGGCCGGGTGTGCCATCTGCTGGTTTAGGCCAATGGTGGGCAAACTGCGTCTCGGCAACCTGCGGCTCGCGAGCCACATGGGGCTCTTTGGCCCCTTACGTGTGGCTCTTCCACAAAATACCGCCTTCTGCGCATGGGCCACGACGTTTCAATCGCACTGTACATGTGCGCCCGCACGTAGTATTTTGTGGAAGAGCCACACTCAAGGGGCCAAAGAGCCGCATGTGGCTCGAGAGCCGCGGTTTGCCGATCCCGGGTTTAGGCCAAAGGGTGCGGCCGAGAATAATGCAGACCAGAACGGCTGCCCTCACGCACTTCACATTCTAATGTGAAAACACTAACGCAGATAAAGTAAAAATATGTAACCTGGCCGGCGTGGCTCAGGGGTTGAGGGGTTGAGAGCGTGATAATAAAAGGGGATAATGGAAAAATAGAAGCCGAAACCGGTTTGGCTCAGTG